CCCCCCGCCTTCCGGGGGGGGGGAACGCCCCCAGCCCTGCCCCCCCCCCGAGGGGACGCAGCACCCGGCCCGCCTCACCTCTCCCTCCCCAAAAGGCCCCAGCCGACCGGGCCGTTATTTTCCCTCTCCAAAAGGCCCCCAGGAGACTAGCCCTTGTCAGCCCCCGCCTTCCCGAGGCACCGGGCGCCTGGCCCGTGTCACCTCCCACCGCCCCGGAAAGGGACCCGGCCCGGCCCTGCACCTACCGCCGCTCGGGGCAGCCAAGGCCGCCTGCCCACCCCTCCGGCCCGCCCGTCTCCTAGGCAACGCTTCCCTTCCGCCCCGCCCGCAGCCAATCGCAGGGCGAAGGCGGTGCGGAGGGCCCGCCTACAAACCAGAACGCCCAATGGGAGAGCGCGGGGACGGGAAGGCGGCCCCCGCCGCCATGGTGGGCCCTCAGGCCTGGGGCGGGTGGCGGCGGGAAGGAAATCAAACCGACGGTGCTTCGTTATGACGCCCGCGGCCGCTGTGTGAGCGGGTTCTCCCCTCACAGCAGGGCCCCGAGGGCTGGAGGACAGCAAACCACACCAGGGCGTGGGGTGCCCTCAGCTGGGTGCAGGGAGGTGAGCTCGAGTGTGTACACCATTTATCTTGCCACCTTCTCGTCCAAGGGACGGCTCCTGCTTCCACAGGCTGCCCACCCGCCCTCTGGTGTTTGTAACGCCAGCTCTCAACAGAAGTGAAAGAATTAAAAAAAAAACCCAACAAATAGCCTTCAAGATGTTTTTATTGTTGAATGGACAGCTTCGCTACAACTCATTTTGCCTTCCGAGGTCCTGCAGATCCACCATCTCCCCGACCCAGCCCCAGAGCCTTCAGGGCGTGCAAGGACTGAGGTGGGCACTGCAGCGGTCACAGAGGATTGAGCTTTACAATGACCGTGGATTTCAGCAGAAAGCCAGTCCAATTAGTACAGTCTTTCACTCATGAAATGAACAGGACAGTTCTCTACAACACAGCTCCTTCCTCGGGTGCCACTGGCCTTTCTCAGCCCAGCACCAGCTGCATGGAAGACAGTCTGGGGCAAAATTTTCCAAAGCATTCTTATCTTTTAAACAAAGAACGCAGGCACCTAGTCCTGTGTCCACAAAGGCCTAGGTCACCTCCATTTTAAGGGGACACCAGATATCTAGAAGCCTTTGTGGACATGGACCTGGACCTTAAGAGCTTAATCTCAATACAGCAGTTGATACGAATCAGGAGTCCTAGGCACTTCTGAAAATTTTACCTCAGTTAATTCTGGCCAGGGAAACCAAAGCCCTGAAGTTACTAGAATCTATTAAGGCAGAGTTCAAAATGTGTCTGTCCCACCTCTTCCCTAAAGTATCTTTGGACCTTAGGGATAAAGACTTATCATTGCATTTGGAAGCATGTAAAACTTCAAGTGATTCTGAGATTCTAAGATCCTTGTGGCAGTGATGATGTTCAGGTGTTAGCTCATTCAGCACCGAGCAGGAAGGGACCCGGTCCTGACTGGCAACATGGATTACAGCAAAACATGGTAAAGTAGAGTCAGGGAGGAAATGAGGTCCCTGTGGCACAGGCTTGCCAGTCTGACATTAATCAAAACAGGCATCCAAGGAGGAAGAGAATTCACATTTATAGCAAAAAGACTAACCAGCACTCTGTTTTTGGATTCAGTCTGTATTTGGAAAAACAGTCAACAAGAAAATGATGGACAGAACTTTCTTAATTCACACATTATACACCAGAGGTTCAGAGACACACTCTTCCTTTTTTCTTTTTTAAATCTGGATGAAACTCAGCACCCTTAAGTTAGCAAAGGCAGAAGGTGAAAGGAGTTGTCCAAGAGCTTGATTCTGGAACCTGTGCACAAAGCTGTTGCTCTCAGATACCAATTTGGTCAGTGGGAAGCAAGAGTGTTCAGCAGGAAGCAGCAGCCTCAGCTCTGCTTTGTTAACATTTGATAGTACAGTAAGGATAATAAACCATTTTAAAAATAAGGTGCATCACAGGATGAGAATTCACTACAACAGCCTCTGCTGTTGAATCACTGCCAAGAAGTGGGATGGTTTTGGTGTAAGTGGTGTGTGAATTAGTAAAGTTCTACTTTACTACTAGCCTACTATATAGCTAGTAATTTTTAAAAAGCAACCGGTAGAAGTCTTGGAAGAGACCGAGTTATATCCTCAGTTGGTGCAAAATAAGCGTTAACTCCACCAATTTTTGTGCTACTTCACTGACACCACCTGTGAACCCTGATTCCTTGCAGAAACCTAGTAAACAGTCAAAAGCTGCCTGCTGAAATGCATCCTTAACATACAAACATCACAAATGTGTAACTAAACTGGAGCAGAGATTCCCACTGTATGATCCCTATCAAAAATATGAAGTGTGGCACCAAACCTGCTCAGAGCAGGGCTGACACATGGCAAGCAAGGTGAATTTTTAAAGAGTTACAGAGTAAGACCAAACTTGATATCCAAATAACTTTTTTTTTTTAAATAAACTGGCCCTAAATTCTCCTGCAATCTTTTAAGATAGCTCAATATTTCAAAAGCGAACATAACTTTCAAAAACAACACTGATTAAAAAAGATGTTCAATGATACCTTAAAAAATACCCAGAATATCAAATTAATTCCAGTCCAGCGTTATAATTAAGAATACCTCCTGAAAATTATATCCTCACAAAAAAATGTGGGTACTGAAGTTAAAAGCATCAGAAACATTATGTACTTGAAAATACCACCGATCTTTTAACGTTTAAAAACAAATCAGAACATTCTTTGGAATCACCAAATTATTAAAACATAAGAGTTTCTCTACAGTCTCCACACTGTCTTTTCAGTCCGTGTACAGATCAAGTCTTTGAGCAGTTTTATATCCACTGTTGGAAAAATACAGAGTCTCTGACCAGCAGGAGGCTACATTAAACAGGAAAACATCGGCATTCTCCTTTGAGTACTGACTTCTGCCAAAAAGAGACTTTCAAGCACAAGACAGAACTGCAATGTTTGAGGAGATATTTCTTTTCTCTTTTAAAATGCATTGTACGTGTACTTCCAGTGCAAATTTTTTTCAGCACTTGCGACAGGCAAGAAGGAAAGGGGGAAGAAGAGAGACTCTCCTATGGTCTTGCTTGGAGGAACCCACAGCCATAGCACACTGACCTACCAGCTCTTCTTACTGTGAAACCAGCTCCCATCGCTGGCAAACTGAAATAGCTTATTAAAGATCTCATTTTTAAGATAAACAGATTACAGTTTAGCATGAAATCTGGCCGTGGCTATGGTTCTATGTGCGTAAAGATTGGTTAGAGATGCTTTCCCCTTTCAGTATTGGTTGGAGTTAATTAAAAACAAGTCTGTGGTATTTTTCCACATGTGTCATGAAATGTGAGAGATCTGTCTGACTCGGGTCTGTATTTCCTGTCGACACAAAGGGCAGGTCTCCAGTTGCAAGGCACACTCCATGCACAGGTCGCTGAAGGAGAAGAAAAGACAATCAGTTAAAGCCTGCATTTACATGATGTAAAAATAGAAGAAAAAAATAAATCAAGCAGTAAGTAGTTTAGTTAGCCTGTTAGAAACACAGAGAAGATCAATCTTTCAGCATGGAGATTAAGAACTGCAAGTCAGGTGTTGTGGATCCATAGGCTTTGAGAGGGGCTCCAGAGCTCCTGCAGCTCAGCATCCTGCAGACCTGAACCCACCGGTGCAGCAGCTGGGATTACACCCACACACTTTTCTTAATCCCAGCACTTGCTCTGGTCTGGGGAACAGCAGCCCCTGTGCCCTGCGTGCTTCCTGTTGGGGCACACTGGGCACATCTCCTTTTTTTAACTTTGCAACACCCAGATAGAAGACCCGTGGCAAGGCTGCCCCCACGAGTGCCCTAAAAACACCAAGGAACTGGATTTAACTGCATTATATTTCCTAGTGGGCTACTCAGATGCAGTATTGCTCAAACTGCTCGTTTTTAGCTTTTAGAGGAATTTGTGTCTTGAGACAATCCATTGTTGAACATTTAATGAGTATAGAATGCATTTTTTACTCTTCTCAGTGTGATCTGCATTTCACAGCACCAGTACCAAGCAAGTACTCATCAGCAAAACCTAAAACCCTCATCTTGGAGATCTGCTAGTCCAGGGACAGCACGTGTAGTTCTGTAGCCACAGTACCTCCCCAGCTCCAGACATACACAGAGTTAAGGATTAAATCTGCTCAGGGGGCACGCTAAGGGGAAAGGTGAGAATACTATGCTGCATATATCACATCCTTACAAGGATTCATTATTTCCTTTTTGCCGAGGAGTCAATCAAGATGAGCAGGTTTCACCAAGCAGCTGGTCTCACCTGAGCTCAACGGCAAACACATTTCCTGTATTTTCTGTTTCTTTGTTTTGAAGTTTTGTTGGGGTTTTTTTTTTGGTGGGGGAGGGGGAGAGGGGGGAGACTTGGGTTGGTTGGGTTTTGCATGTGTGTGCGTGTATGTGTGTGTGTGGTGGTTTTTTTGGTTTTGTTTTGAAGGTTTTTACCTGTGTCCGCATGGCCTGAGTTCTGTGTCTGCTACCTCATCGCAGCAAAGCGTGCAGCAGTTCTCTCGGATACTCACTTGCTTCAACAAAGCCAGGCGCCGGTGTCTGGAGAAAAAAGGGCACACATACACACCCCCCACCCCTCAAAGGTTAGTTTGATTCACCATATATTCACAACTGCTCCAAGTATCGCATCACAAGCGATGCGCCTCTTGCCTGCGCTACTCAACGCTACTGCAGATAAGCATCAAGCAGAACTTCCCACAGAAAACTCTTAACACACCCAGAGATGCTCAGAACAGTTTTTGACTCCCTACTCCGGTCTGTCAGGAGGCTGTTAGATTACAATTCTTCTAGCTCCCACAGCTGAACACTTCAAAAAAAATTCTTTAGTATTTGTGTACTTTTAAGAGTTAAGAAAAAAAACAACAAATAAACCACACAAGCCCATGGATCAATAAAATTCAGAAACCCCTACAATGCTGTAACACAGTTTAAACGAAAAGAAACTGAAAATGAAATCAACAGCTCGGTATGGCAATGACCACAAGGGAGATTAAATGGATAGAAACCTCCCTGTTTGACGAAATAAGACATTTTGAGTTTGGAACACATACAGGAAGACACATACACACACTACCTGTCACAACTGCTCAGTGGCAGGAGGACATGTCCAGCCCAGACCATGCCCCAGCACTCAATGCATTAAATTCAGCACAGCTCTATGTGAGTTTATGTTAATTCCTACAATGGATAGTTAAGCTCCACTCAGACCCTTGCCTTTTTTTCCCCTATCACTTTTAAGATCAAGGCCATATTTTAATTTAGGATTGGCTTATTGCCAATGATGCGAACAAGAGAAAAGAATACTGACTTTGAGCAGGGGGCTGACCAAGAACGATAACTAACAGATCACCTCAAGGGATTAAAATCAGACTCTCACTTAAAGCCCCTGCAGTCACAAGCTGGTGTAAGTTACTCTGGCATTATATGTAAGTACAAAATGGTCTTGCAAGTTGCACTTGATTTTCTCTGCATAAATACAGCATCGCAAGCCTCAAACTTTGCCAGCGTGTGACTCGCATCCAGGAGTAAGATGGTTTGGTTTTTTTTGTTTTTAAACACTAAGGTGCTCGAGTACTCAATTCAGTTGACTGAACAGCTAGGCAATTCAAAACTAGTCTCTAAATTTTATTATAGTTGGGGGTACCCATCTCCAACACCCCACCCCTTAATTAGAAGCAACAAAAGATTAATCCAAGCCTCTAACCAGCACCACTCCAGAATGCCCATCTTTAGACAAAGTTGCAGATCTGGGGTACACTATATCCCAGATTACACTGTCTACTGTTACCATTTGTGTTCCAGAAAATAATTTTCTTACTAATGACCACAACCAGAAAGGCTATTAGTTTTCATTCCTGCCAGGAATTTGTAAAGGAAAAATGTATCCAAACCTGTTTCTATCTGGCTTGATTTATATTTCTTTGGGAAAGCACTTCTAAATTTGAATAGCCTTTGTCAGTACTATCATTCACAAATGGGGAAATTTTCATCTGGATCAGAAAAGGAGGACAGCTTCAAGTCTTAAAATCATTCAATACCTCCATGCTGCCACCATCATAAGTTAGATCAATTTTAAATAAGACTTCTTTTTTTAATTAAGACTATACCTCCTCAACCAACCTAATCATTCTTAGGAGGAAGCGCTTTTACTAAAAACAGTATTAGTGTGCAGTAGTTAATTTTAGTTTAGCTTAGTATTACCAAAAGAAAATTAATTTATGGATTTTGATTGTATATCTCCCGCCCTACTCATGAAGTTACAACGGTCCAATAATCTTCTGAAAGAGACCTATGGAGGTGCCATAGGTTAGGTTACCATAGGAGGTTACCATAGGACCTAGGAGGTTACCATAAAAGGTAACTTTGCCAAGTACAACATAAGATTATACCCCTCAGAAATCAGGCATTTTATTTCTCTATGCAAACACACTCAAACCAGAGAGGAAAATTACCTGGGCAAAATGATTTTCTCTTCTGCTGTCAGAAAAGCATAATCATTAAAGGTACTAAACTTCATTGATGGTGGGTACTTGAAAGGTTTTGCCCCAAAGTTGAACTCACATTGTTGATAGGACATGAAACTCGCTGCAGCAAAAAACCCAGACCTGCAATATGCAGAACAGACATTTTAGGATGACTTAAACAATAACAGAGTTTTCCAAACATCTTACAACTCTTACCAGACAAAAACATATCCTGAAACAAAGAGATGAGTTCCTTCAGTAGAAATGTGCTACAGCTAATGGGGAGAAAACCCTTTGACACATCCAGTTTCAGCTACACAAACTTTCCTGGGTTTAGTTCAACTTCTGAATTTACTGTCAGGGTTTATCTGAATTTACTAAGGGAGGCAAAAATGACTGCCTGCTCTGCGGTGAGGATTAGTCACACTTGCACCGAGAAACAGACATATCCATCTGAGCAGCACACCAACTGATCCTCTTTACAGCCATCAGCTCAGATCTCTCCTTCAGCACTGGAAAAAAGTATTTTTCATCCAACCAACTTCTGCTTAGTGGCCAGCCCAGCCAAAACCACGACAGTTGTGAAGAGCAGTGCCAACTGCAAGGGACACCTCTGTGTCTCTGCTCTGGCTGCTTTATTCGAGCAGGCAGAGAGCGGGGAACTCGCAGCTCATGCACTTGTTGTGTGGATGAATCCGGGTCTGAGCTCTCTCACCACAAGGTCCATCTGTTCCTCCTCACCCTTCCAGGATTACCTCAGGCCAGCTGTCTTGTCTTCACAGCCACCTTGTCAGAACACCACAACTGTCAACTCCCTCAGTCTTATTTACCGAAAGGGGCCGAGTTGAGCAATACCCCAAGTTCTAACCAAGTAAGAGAACCTGTTGAATATAGAAATGACACACTCTACACAAAGAACAGAGTACTGCAAGCTGAACAGACAAGATACTCTGCAACTCTAAACTGAACTACTCTTTGCTTGAATCTTGAACTTCATTTTGAGGAGAAAACACAAATGAAGTTATTAGCACAGTAGTATTAATTTAAAGAGTACTGTAATGTTTAATGAAGCTGCCCTCTCAAGTATCACACCAGCTTATCTTTTCAGAACTAAACAGCTGAACCTCCCCAAGAGAGGCAGAGGAGCTTGCCGTGTGTTAATTTTAACAGAGTTGGCAAAATAAGCCTCACACCTACCTGCAATGCTACCAAGAGGTGTCCTGCCACGAATATTCAACGTGCTACTACAGAACTGGCCCCAGTGAACAGCAGTGAGTTAATACACATACTTCAGCATTTACAGGACTGAGGCTTTTTTTTTCAGGATCAGAAATTCCTGAAGCAGTATTAGAAATTTGTTTATCTTTGCTACGGCCTCATTCCATTTCAGCACTGTGCTGGTTTGACCGTAGAAAACACGTTTGACCTTTGAAATGTCTGAAGTATTTATTTCGGACCCTGAAATCCCCCTGTAAAATTATATCCTTCTCACTGATTTCTAAACAACATTCAAATTGGGAAACCTGCTTAATGATGGCTTTGGGTAAGCAAATATGAATTTACCTCTTACATGGGAAACACTTCATATAATTAAAACAATTATCCATACAGGTCACTGTCCTTCCAAATGAGCCCATACTTACACAGCAGATGAAAATACTTGCTTCTCAGCAGGAAGCTGGTTTCCATTTAAATAGAAGATCATTTGCTTTTCTTGCAAGTCTAGTAGAAATCCTATTGTGTCTCCTTACATGCAAAACAAAGATAATTTAGAGATTTCACTTGTGTTAAATACCTACAGCTGACACAATTATTGGTTTAACTAACTCATATCTCACTATGAATTGTCTCACTTAAAGAAACTGTTTGCAAAAGCATAGAGGAAGAAACATTGATACAGACAGTAACTAAAGGAAAAAGCCAGGACAAAATAGTAAAAAAACAAATTTAAACTCTGGCAGAGCACTAATACTACATAGTTGCAGAAGTATTGCAGAATATTTACCAAAGCCAGAAAAAAGCTGCAACTCTGTCTCTCGCTATTTTACACCTGTTGAAGATATCCTCAGAACACATACTTGAACAGTCCAAGTTTCTTACATGCTTGTGCATATACTTATTTTTAAGAAGTGTTTTAATTTAGCCATTCGTGGGAAAAAATTTAATAGAAGAGGTGGCACAGTTCACACAAGCATGGCATGCACAGACTCCTACCAAGATTTCAAAGCTGCAATGAAAAACAGAATTGTGCTGTCCAAGTAGCTAGGCAAGACTTTAAAGTAAGCGAGGCAGTGCAACTCCCTCTTAACCTAAACTAGACAGTTGGTTTTTTCCCACTTCTCTAAAATAACTTTCATCCCAGAAAGGAACATTTCAATCCTGTTTGTAGGATTACAAACATCTAAGAAAAAAAAGTCTTAATCATAAGTTTCCAAGGTTAGTTGGTGCTATGATTTGTACTATGAAAAGAAAAAGCATTTCACCAACAAGATTCTGTTTATACAGATTGTGGAACAAGAGCGTGGTGCCCACTTTGTACATTTAACCACTGCAAATACTCATAAAAGGCACAATAATTATTAAACCTGTAGTAGCATCAGCATTAGGCAGTAACTGGCACTGTTTGCACTGACTAACAAACTGCAAGAGGAAAAAAAACCCATGCAGAAACCCAACCAGGATAAAAACAGGAGATGGACAAAATACCTTCTTTCCAACAGGGATGGGAATGCGGTTTACTTCTGGCATTATACCAAATCAGCTGCCGGCAGCCATCGTATGCACAGGAGTATTCATCATCCCCAATGCCATAACCTTCCTTCAGAAAAAGAGCAACACATTTCAGTTTGCAGCCATTCTTAGCACAGAGGGCTAAAATTTATTTTTTTATTCAACTAAACCATTCATCCAAAAGCAGGAAAGGTTTCTCCCACCCCCATGAAGACCATTTCTTCAAGCTAGTCTTAGTTTTATTTTCACATCAAAATGAATTTGTTGGGATGGGGTGGGGGAAAGGGGATATTGACTCCAAAGTGGGTTTAATTCTCTGTGAGGTTAAATCACTCCTGTCTATCGAAAAAAACAACTAACTCCTTGCATCTTAAAAATTCAACATAGAAATGTAACCACCCTCTTACCAGACTGGTAAAACCTTCCCCAAGATACCCAAGTGCCACCAGAACATGCAGTACAGAGAAAGAACAAACCCATAGTCCCTGCACTGAATTTGTTGCACATTGTGTCCCTTTCAGTGCGAGCCGCCCTCAAGTTGTGAAAAGGTTATCAAGTGACAGTCCCAAGGTCCCAAATAAATGCAAAACTAAACTTTGGATTGGGAGAAGAATCTGTCACATAGGAGAGCACAAACACAAAACCCAAATGCCTCATGGAAGAGAACTTCCTCGTGCTCAGTGTGGTTTGTCTGGAGTGCAAATACCAGACAGTGGGCTGATTACACAAGCCTCAGATATCCCAAATTAAAGCTAAGCCCAGCTAATAGGTGTTTAATGTCATATTTATTTGTTGCACATGCTGCAAACAAAGAGCATATGGCTGCTCTGATGACGGGGTTTGTGACAGAGGAGAATATCCCTATATTTCAGGTAGACAGCTGGTGAACTTAAATAACAATCGCATTTAGCTACCAGCAAAACAGTTGTAGCAACAGAAAGTCATCCTGCTCAGATACGTGATGACATCTATTTTCATACCTTGTACAGGAAGCACAGACAGAAAAATACATATACACCAAGCACCTTAACAGTAAGTGGGAAAAATCTTTTAAGCCTCTTAGCAGTCTGAAGGCAGGCACATGGCCTTTTATTTCCAGCAGTTTCCATGACACTCAGTGTTTCCAATGACAGATCTATATCATATTTGTGTTTGGCAGTAGTTTTTTGTTTTTGTTGTGGTGGGTTTTTTGTTGTTGTTGGGGCTTTTTTTGTTTATTTATTTGGGGTTTTTTTTGTTTATTTCAATCACACTCGCAATTCCATGCTAGAAATGTGGGGCTGGACTTTGGATATGATGTAGAGATATCTGCACGTCATACACCAGCAAAGGACAATGCTATTTACGTGAATAATTAGAAGAAATGGAGCAAGAGCAACTGAACTCACAGGAAGACTTAAATGGTGAGAAAAGCTGCTCTCCCACTTCTGTTGGGTTTCTTGCCACTGGTCTTTGTTTCATCTCCTTGATGTATTTCTCTCCTACAACAATCTTTACTCACATGTATGTATTTGGCCTATCTTCTTTGAACTGCTTATCTCTGCATTATATATATATAATTTCCCCTAAATTAGATTCCAAAAGGAATAGAAAGCCATGCAATTACAACAATAGAGAAGGGCTACAGGTACGTTTCTTACTCAAGCTCAGCCAGTAGAAGTGGCCAACTTAAAATCTCAGCACTATTTCCATTCTGGTCAGTGGTGGTAGGCTAGGCCATACATGCCTTTTGTACTGAAATTCAAGCTTGCCCTTTAATTAATTTTATTAAAACTAAGTTTGAAAGGCTGGTTATATGGCAAGTCCTCTCTAAGCAGAAGCAGACAAGTTTTTTTGAGCAGTAATCATTATGCTTTCTTCATATTATGGCAATACTGAAGCAAATTATGCTACAGCACACTGAGTTTACAACAGCCATCCAGAGTTACCATGAAGATTTAAGAAGTCCTAGTTACATCTCTACTAGCATTTGAGATTATTCTTTGACTATAGGTTTGGACTTCATATTCACATGCCACATTTTGCTTTAATGCTAGTAAGTACAGAATTTTAAAAGTGAAACAGTAGGAAGAATACTTAAAAGAACAAGATATTAAGTTATCTGAACGAGGGAGAGCAAAGCACACGATGCAGTAAGACAGCATACTTACTCTATATTATCAGAATAAAGACAAGAAGGTAGAGGGTTTAATCTTTTTGTAAGCCTTATTTTTAATTAAGTAGAAACTGTCACATACTCAAACTGTACCATATTGCTGTTATCAGCAGATCCAGTAATGCCATGCTATCTTAGAGTCAATTTAAATAATTATTTCCCTTGTGAAAGTTAGTTTAATAATATGTTAAAGAGGGTAATCAAATGGATGCTTGGGGACCTGTGTGAAAGCAAGGGCATGATGATCTGCTAGTTCCTAGTGAGCAATTGTTTGCTTCACAAAAAAAGCAGAGTAACTACTGCTGTTATCAGAAGAATTTCCAAAAAGAGAATAAACCACAAGAAATAAGCCATTTCCCTGTAGCTTTCAGACAAGCAGATCACAAGCTGTCACTTCCAGCAGCGATGCGTGACTTGTATGAACAGCATCAGTCTGTAGCACAGACGATACAGCCTTTTTCTTGCACCATTAACTTCAGCCAAAATTGCTTCATGGAAGTAGAGAAAAATTGAAGGAAACATGCCAAGTGCTCCGTTACTGCCACGGAATAACCAGAGCTATTGTCATAGGTGTTTTAAGTAAAAAAAATACTGAAGTTACATCAGCAGCAGGATGGCATGACATATACTCACATGATTGAGAAATTTGCTGTCTTTGGTAGCCCATCCTATCTGCATCACCCCTGAAGTAATGACTGTCACTTCATAGTACCAGACTCCAGAATCGACGCAGAACGTACATCTAACACTCTCAAAGGATGAGGCATCACATCGAGCCTACCAAAACCAAACCAAAAATTAAGTTTTGACAAAATTAGCATTCAAACAAGCCCCTTTTTTCCCCGCCTCGATCAAGTTTCTTGCACATAAGAATATACCAATGTCATTTTAGAGTCACTTCAGACAAAAAGTGACTTCTCTTTATAGCAGCAATTGTCACACAAACTAGCGAGTAGGCCAGATTGAAAATTGTTTGGTGGTAAGCCACAGGGAAAAAAAAAAAAAAAACACCACAAAAACCAGTAGAAAGTTGACAGAGTCAATTTAAAGACTAAGACAACCCAAGTCATGGATTATTAGCTGACTCCAGGTATGAAGGACAGAGAGCTATTCAATGTTAATTCATGAAAATTCATCTGTAAGTAGTCAAACAAATTTTTAGAAAAAGTAACAAAGAAAAAAAAAAACAACCCCACAAGGCTGAGACAAAAATCCTACTGCTTTGGACTTTTCAAGACTAGACAGGCCAAACAGTAGGAATTATGGAATTACTTTGTGAACAATTTTAGTCAAAACGAGGGGAAAGCCAGCTCTTACACATTCTCCTCCCTTTTCTGAAGTTTTGGGGCACAGATACAGGTGTTACTTTAGTGTCAACATTTCTACAACTAAGATCAGTGCAGCAATGTTACAGCCCTCTGACAAAGCAAATTTGCTATGCAAAGCTGGCAGAGAACTTTGATTCATTCACAGGAGTAAGTAGCAAACAAAAATAGTTAAAACCTGCCTTTTTCTTCAGACTCCTTTTCAGGCTGAAATCCTGAAATCACGTCCTACCTCTAATCCATGCGGCGATATCTTCAGGTATTCACTGACATCGTTACTGTTCAGCATTGCCCTGATGTTGGTCAAGTCAACTTTCTCATATGTAAACTGCCTGCCTTCTTTTAAAACTGCAAAATAAAACTAGTTTTAATCACAGCCGCAGCAATAGAATCATAGAATCATAGAATTTCCCAGGTCGGAAGGGACCTCCAAAGGCCATCTAGTCCGACCTCCCCGCAGTCAGCAGGGACACCCCCAACTAGACCAGGTTGCCCAGGGCCTCGTCGAGCCTCTCCTTGAATATCTCCAGGGATGGGGCCTCAACCACCTCCCTGGGCAACCTGTTCCAGTGCTCCACCACCCTCACAGTAAAGAACCCCCTTCTAATCTCCAATCTAAATCTGTTCCCCTCCAGCTTGAAGCCATTTCCCCTCGTCCTGTCACTACAGGCCTTTCTAAACAGGTTCTCCCCAGCCTTCCTGTAGGCCCCTTCAGGTACTGGAAGGCTGCTATTAGGTCTCCCCGGAGCCTCCTCTTCTCCAGGCTGAACAACCCCAGCTCCCTCAGCCTGTCCTTGTAGCAGAGGTGCTCCATCCCCCTGATCATCCTTGTGGCCCTCCTCTGGACCCTCTCCATCAGGTCCATGTCTTTCCTATACTGAGGGCTCCAGACCTGCACACAATACTCCAGGTGAGGTCTCACCAGAGCAGAGTAAAGTGGCAGAATCCCCTCTCTGGACCTGCTGGCAACGCTTCTTTTGATACAGCCCAGGATAGGATTGGCCTTCTGGGCTGCAAGTGCCCACTGCCTGCTCATGTCCAGCTTCTCCTCCACCAGAACCCCCAAGTCCCTTTCCTCAGGGCTGCTTTCCAACACCTCACCCCCTAGTTTGTATTGGTGGCGAGGATTGTTCCGGCCCAGGTGCAGAACCTTGCATTTGCTCTTGTTGAACCTCATGAGGTTCACCTGGGCCCACCTCTCCAGCCTGTCCAGGTCCTTGTTTTAAACATGTCACACAGCGCCAATCAATCTCACTAGGATCCAGCTAATTTTTTTGCATAATTGAATGAAATATTGATGTTTTGCCTGCATGAAAACAGCACTGCTTCCAATACGCTGTGTGTTAAATATCCTCTAAACATCAGAACGCAACCTGTACCTCTGACTACAGCTCCTACAGTCTAATTACTACTTTCAGGAAACCCACAGGCAAACGTATGGCATCCACGTTCAAACCAAGATGCCGCTGTTTCAGGATTTCACATTGTATTTGTATATTCAGTTGGGCAGAGTTTTTCCAATTCATCACACTGGAAAAGATATTGGGGATGAGGAAGAAAGGGAAAACAAGTATTTATAGGTTTTTTTCCCCCTCTCATTTTCAGGTAGGTGATGAACTTGAACTTAGCTAAAGCAGCTCTTTCTCTGTGTGTCGCCTTTTCACATGGAAGGGCCAGAAGCATTTATCTTGCCAGGTGTCAAATTGCTGACATGTGCACATTAATTTACAAAAGAGAGATCTTACCTTAGGACCCTTCATATATCCCAGACTTGCTACAATGCTTATACAGCTGTTTACTAAACACACTGGCCTCTCATAAGCTGGCTAAAGCCCTGTAAAGCTCAACAAGACCTTTTACCCAAATTCACAGAACAGACATTAGAAACTACAAGGTCCTTAGAGTTGCTGCACCCTCAAAATCACAATTAACTAGTGAATTTGATGCTTGCTAATCATCCAAAAGCATAGATCTAAGTGCTTTGTCAAACGCTTTTCACTTTTGATTAAAAGACCGTATCTTTACTTTAAAAAGTCTGTAATAATTCTTTGAAGATGTGCACTGCTGTGGTGTGATCACGGTAGGGGCTGTCACCAGGATGTGTCACTAACCCGGCTGTCCCACAGAGAGACAGAGCTGCACTACTCAGCTACTCAGCACATCTGCTGAAGCATGGGTTACAGGAAATAGTCCAAAGAAGAATTTTCATTGCAGCTCCAACTTGCAGGGCATACACCACTTCCTTTCATAAACAATTTCCTTGCCAAAATTTCCTTTCCAGGCATTTACACTGGATTTATTTGCCCCCCCCCCCCCTTTTTTTTTTGTTTGTTTTTGAAGGAGGGTGATTACAGTCAGGTATATTTACAAGAAGTGCTTATAGAAAACAAAACACAAAGTAGTCCTCCATCTGTTTGGAGAAGTGATTAACATTAGATGAATCCATCCCTTTTGTTATACCTACACAAATTGTCTAAACTCCACTGGGCACAGAATCCAACCTGCCGTTTTAAATAGTCTGGATTATCTGTCCACTTCTCCAGCAGAATCAGTTGGTCGCTAATACGTGATTCAGAAACTGTCATTTTATTTTCACCTGCAATTTAGTAACAATAAAGAATGATTGTTAGAAACTAGGGATAAGTTCAGTTAAAAAGAGTAACATTCTACAAATGCAGCAGAACCCCCTCACTACACCTTTAAACCTCAGTGTCACAAACAGCATGAAGTTCTTTCCCCAAGCAGATGTGAAATTAACTTCACAATCAGATCTAGCACTTCTCAGCAGGAACTGCATCATCAAGAGACTATGAGATCATGGCTGTTCTCCATCTCTCTAACAGAGATTTATTTCTTTTCAAGTGACTAAGGTCTCGTGTCAAAGTCTTTACGTAGCAATTTTTAAGCTGAGGACTGAGCTTCAGCAAATCTCTTTTGCGGGTGGGGATGTCATTAAAGCAATAAATATTTTTTCCTGCCTGCAAATACCCAGTCATAGCTGTTCTCCATCTCCAATACAGAATTACTTCAGTGACAAAGGCCTCATGTCATAAGTCCTCTACAGCAATTTCTAACTGGGAAAGGCTGCACTGAGTTTCAGCAAGTATCTCAAGGGTTTTGAGGGGTAGAGGGACGTCACTAAAGCAATAAATACTTCCTCTTGCCTGTAAGTGGACAAATATTTCTCTTCTGCATTTGTGATCCCACCAATCCAGTCTCTCTCATGCTCATACGCAGCAAGTGACACACACAGCAGAAGCCACAGTATGGCTGTTAAGAGCAGCATCAAGCTAATACTTACTTGTTTGTGCAAACTTCTCCAGTGCTATTAGTGCAAAAAGCATCACCGTCGGATGGGACTGGAAGTTCTAAACATGGGCAGTAAGAAAAGTGTTTTAATAAACACCCACCAGAGATGGATAGGAAAAGGTGTTAGTCTGTTACAGAATCATCATAGTTGGAAAGGACCTCTGAGATCACCGACTCCAACCACACACACAAAAAAACCCCTACAATCTCAGCCAAAACTGAGCCCTGAGGGACACCACTGGTGACCGGTCACCAACAAGATTTCACCCCGTTAATCACAACTCCCTGGGCACAGCCATCCAGCCAGTTTTTTACCCAGTGAAGAGTACACTTGTCTATACCATGATTCACCAGCTTCTCCAGTCAGTCCTACTGACTTCCAGTTATCTCCAAGCATGGAGATTTCACTGAATTTCACTGAATTTTTTTAGAGTTGGAAGGGACGATAGAGATTATCTAGTCCAACTCCCCTGCTAAAGCAGGATTGTCTAGAGCATGTTACTCAGGACTGCATCCAGGTGGCTCTTGAAGATCTCCAAAGAAGGGGACTCCACAACCTCCCTGGGCAGCCTCTTCCAGGGCTCTGGCACCCTCACTGTGAAAAAGTTTTTTCTCATTATTTGAGTGGAACCTCTTATGTTCCAACTTGCGCCCGTTGCCCCTCGTCCTGTCACTGGCAACCACTGAGAAGAGTCTGGCTCCCTCCTCCTTCAACCCACCCTTTAGATACTTGTAGGCGTTGATAAGGTCTCCCCTCAGCCTTCTCTTCTCCAGACTAAAGAGCCCCAGCTTCATAAGGGAGATGCTCCAATCCTTGAATCATCTTTGTTGCCCTTCGATGGACTCTTTCCAGTAGTTCCCTGTCCCTCTTGAATTGGGGAGCCCAGAACTGGAGGCAGGATTCCAGTTGTGGCCTCACCAGTGCAGAGAGGGAGAATGACTTCCCCTCGACTGGATTTATTTGCCCTTCCCTATGCAGCCCAGGATTCCGTTGGCCTTCCTGGCCACAAGAGCACACTGCTTGCTCATTGTCATTTTGCTGTCTTCCCAGACCCCCAGCTCCTTTTCTTCGGAACTTGTCTCCAGCAGGTCCATGCCTAACCTGTATTGGTGCCCGCCATTCTTCTTCCCCAGGTGCAGGACCCTACACTTTTCCCTGTTGAACCTCATGAGGTTCTTCCTTGCCCAGCTCTCCAGCCTGTCCATGTCTCCCCCACTCACTGCAATCCCAACTTTTATAACATACATTACCAGTATTTACCAAACCCTAACTTTTCACAGTAATAAAAAAAAATAAATTGCATTATAATTGCTATGTACAGATACACGCAAAAAGATTGAAAACACTTACCAAGCTGTGAAGTAAATATTCTAATATGCCTGGGCTGAGTAAGCCTATACTCGCAGGACCTGCAAGAACATTAAAAATTAAATCCATCCACAGGAACTACCACACACTCATCATCGGACAGAACTTTTAAACACAAGGCAACAAATTAAAGAACATGTAAGAAATTTGCAGCAAAGCAGAACTGTAATACAGAATCATTATCATTGTTCCCAGTTTGCTACACATTTAATAATTACTTAGGCACTGCCAAATTACAAACATTCTCAGTTTACCTGCTATTTCTAGCCACACTTCTGAGTTTCTGAAGTAAGACTTCACTAGCCCTTGCTTATTTTCATGCTCATTACTTTCAAAACCAGACCAGGTCCCCTTTTTTTCCAGAGACAAAATATAAAGACCAGTTCCATTTATCAGTAGCCCAAGATCAGCAAAGCTGAGCATCCAATATAGCCTACTTGGTAGTTAGTTGATACAATTTGCAGCAGCACGATACCAAGTACCAATTTTAGAAAAAAAATGCCTTAAAATACTGATCAAGAGAGATACACAAAGGAATCAAACTCTGGAAGCTACGAAATCTGACAAATTGCAATGGGTTCCACCACAGCATTAACAGATTTGCTGCCTGAGCTGACACAGTGAGATCCGTGTCCATTAAGACGAAAGTAGACACTTACTTTTAGGACCTCATTTTTACTTCGTATAACAGGGTATTATAGTACAAAAATGCTTCCTGCCCTTGTTCTTTCCTTTTGACAAAATATTGAAATTATTTTTAATAACCATTACATGATACTGGACAATCACTTTTTCTTTTTCAGAAAAGAAGAAAAAAACTAGATAAACAACCGTCAGCAGGAAGGAAACTTAATTTATCAGTTTCCAGGCAGGTACTAGAAGTGACAGGGAATAAAAAGTTCCATGCAAAAAGTCACCTTTAAGTAGGATCCCAGCAATCTTCTTTTAAGCAACCCAGAGAATCTTTCCAGCTAATTACAATAGAGCAACGCATGTTTAGCACAACATATGTTTCTATACAGCCTCCAAGACTACTAATTTGCTACTCCTGCCTACCGGTTAAGAACTACGAGTTCAGTCATTCACACACAGCCAGAGAAGGTCTGCAGAAAAGACAGATTCCTAGAGTAAGGCAGTATTCCACAAAGAATCACCAATCCACAATCACTAACCACACGTCAGAAGAATTCAGTCTTTTTAAGTATTTGGGATTAGGAATGGCTCATTCAGACGCAAGCCAGGGACTGTTCAACATTTTAATGGGGCAGTAGACTTGGTCACAGCTGTCACACAAGGTCTCCCTCGATGCAGAACATGATTCAGTTCTAAGAAAACATTTCTGATCTAGTCTGTCGTGGGCGCTAGAGCAGAAGGTGGTTCAGTGAGCCAGACACAAGCATTACCTGCTAACTTCTCTGCTAAGCAGCCCAGCACCGCAGTCGTGTTCCGGTGTTTGGCAGGGTGACAAGCATCCTGGCAAGCAGCAGCTCCACTTAAGTTTAATATTTCAGTTAATTTTTGTAATGCATCCTGAAATAGAAAAAAAATATCAGAAATATCTTGAACATTACAGACAGATACAGTTTTCCCCACAAAATGAACGTAGTACAACAAACTATTTTTACATTATATTACTAAAGTCAGCATCATATTACAGACAGCATGGAATAGTTATCTTCTAAGATAAGAAGATAATAAAGAACGGATGGAAAGAGAAGTTTAACCTAACCAAGAGCTGTCACTGAAATGATGAGCAGATTGGTGGTCATTGCTGTGATCAACAGCTCAGTACACCTCTGGACACACACAAGTGAGGTACCTACAGGAACCAGAACGGTACACCACCATCAGCACATACAGCACCACTGCCATCTAATCTGCTTCCAGTGCCCTAAAGCTCATGCCCTTTCCAAAAGAAAAGGGGTAGTTTAGACTTTAGAATTCAGGACTTAAGAGATGTGCCCCACAAAGAGAACCTACATCCCCATCTTAAATTTAGGATGGTGCCAGCTTTATAGGACATCATAAGCAGGTATTCTTGAGAGCATAAATTATTTCCTGTAGTCCCACTCCTTTAGGATGCAACCAATGAGGGTAATAAACCTAAAATGCCATACTTTGACTTGCTTCATTCAAGCAGATTGGTATGGATAAAATTCCAGATAGATCTAGATCACACCTGCCATTCTCAGAGTAGTTGGGGTTAATCTAGAACCAGAAGAAGTTATCCCACAAGGAGAACTCCAGCCCACAAAGTTCCAGACCCCCCTCAACTTTCTAGACTTCAAGAAAATTTCAGCTGATTCAGATTGAAACTGCATAATGCCAGGCCATGATCTAATTAAAATAGAAGAACTCCTCATACTGAAGTCATCAGCAGGCCATTTGGAGAAAAAAAAAAAAAAAAAAAAAAAGAGTACTACTCAAGTTAAATCTATGTGGTTTCTTGAATTGTGTTCCGAACCACACTAAAATCAGTTTACTGAGGTTTGTACAGAGATAACCCTGAGAAGTAGTTATGTTCCCAAAAGAAAAGCCATGAAACCAGAGCTGATGAACAAGACTGCGAAAATGTAGAAAGAGCAGAGAAAGAAGAAAGCATGACTGAGCCACAGGCTTGGGATGGAAAAGTCTCACTAAAATTAGACTCTTGACATACTCTGATATTGCTTTTAGCCATTATTAGAACTGTCAGAGAGATCAACTATTTTGAGTTAAATAAAGACTTTGTAGAATAAACAGTTTACTGCACTGCCGTTTTAACTTTAGGGACTTTATAGCCTACAATAACAAAAAATGAAATACAGCCTGCGGCTGTTCTCCAGCTGTTATAGAAGTCAGGCACTGACTTCAAACTCTTCAAACCAAAAACTTAAACTTATCCCAAATAGAAAGAAAATGAACAGCAGCTAACACTTTACTAGGCTGCACATGACCAGCAGATCCCACAACAGCAGCTTCTTGTGCTGCCAAGAGACTGTACATGGGGAAAAAAACCAAACTTCTGTGCACTTCAGAAAGAGGAATCTTGCTCCTTTTCTGCTGGTTAAGGTCAACTATTTCATAGCTAACGCCTTAGAATTAAAGTACTTAAGTAACAGTCATGTTATTTGAAGAACTGGGCCATTTCAAAAGGCTTTCAAAAAACAAATCATTTGATTGCCAAGTACATTGTACAGCCAAACACAAAAAAAAAAATACAAAAGTCATTCTTTGTATGGCTCATTCAGTGGCCTCCACTTCCCAATAGCTTTTTCAAAGCAGGCAAAATTTATAGTTATAGCTTTGTTTTCAAAATCATTTTGCATTCTCTGTGACAGACATCATACAACATTTAACTCGTTCAAAAGTCTCAGGTGACTTTATTCAATAGCCTAGAGTTAAAAAAAACAAAACAAAACAAAACAAAACACTTCAGGTAGTTAAAGCTTGACCAGCTCTCCAGCCACTCATTCATTTATACCAGACAAAAAGCTACCAGCTTTTTATATCCCTAACAATGCAAACTGAAAACTAAAGTTGGCAGCGTAAGAAGTAAATTATAAGTGAAAGCTGCAATGATGTCATCATCAATTTCTGATGAAATGAGATAAAGACAAGCATTTGAAGACAGACAAATTCTCTGTACAATCATTTTTAAAGGATTCAACAATGGTTTGCATCTTGAAGCACTCAATGCTCTCACCAAAACATCTGTAGCAACACAGTACCAACACCTCAGCTCACCTTTCCTCCCAAAAACCACATTTATGGTCAGTGGAGAAAAAAATGGAAAATTTAAATTTGCCGAAACTGTGTCTAGATATTTCATTGTTTAAAGATGTCATTTGTTTCACTTAACATTCCCACTTGTGTTTTATTCCTTACATGCAAGGCAGGAACAAATTCAACAGTGACTTGCAAACGTGCAGCTTTCAGAACTTGAGAACAAGACAGCAGAACTTGCTGCGCTCCTGCTGCCCCTGCACACCCTCATGGCATGTGCCACACGGCGGGAGAGGGCAGCAGGAAAAGCAGCTAAAGACCAAAGGCCTCTTGTTCTTCACCACGGACCAGATTTATCTTGATTTTTCATTTTTCCCTACAGCGCTCCTAACATTGAGTAGCAGTTAGATACCACGTCACCACAATTACTGAAAGTTCCAAGTTACACCCATTTTCTGAACAGCTCACAGTCCTGCCTCAGTGGTGAAACCCACCCAGAAGCCAATATGGGTATGGCCACCATGAATAACTAAAATTCAGCCGCAGATAAATACATACGCTTTAGACTCACTTTTGTTGGCAACGGACATTCATCAAGTAGTAGGGTTATAACAGCTGGTCCCAGGGGATCTTCTAATGGAATAACTCTAATTAAAGATTGGACAACTTCCAACCAGCCTTCATCTGTCAACCACAAAACAGAAGTAATGCTCAGAATTAACACTGCAATTCTGAAGTGTTCAAAATACATCCCTAAATGTAAATTGAAAAGTCCTCAAAATTACCCAGTGAGTTTACAGGCACTAGGAAAAAAAGAAGTTTACTTTTCACATCAATGTCTTATTTCGCAGTAGGTTAGAGGTTTAAATTCAAGGAAAAAAAAAAGGTTGCAGCAGCTTGTGTACTAGCAAACACCTCTGTTGTCTGGAGAACAGTCTGGCCCAGGCCAGAGCATCCTTTAGTTCCCACTTGCATTAGGAAGGAACACTCATGACCAGTATGGACAAGCACTTTGTTCCAGTGTCATAGCCAAGAGTTCAGTGTCCTATGTCAACTCTTAACTGTTAAATGCTGCATCCATAATGACTCTAAAGAAATGTTTCTTTCAGTCAGAATCGGAGCTCTCTTCTTGAATTCCCTCAATAACACAGACCTCAGAGGAACTGTATTAGTTGTCCCACACCTGGTGGTCTAAAGAACGTTCACTTTCCTAAGGAGCAGCTCTCACTGTTTAACGAGTAGACAAGGGCTTCTACTTGCAACTGAACAACAATCCATGCAAGATGTTACGCTACCAATAAAGTAAACAGATTTAGATTGACAAGAAACTAATTCCCTTAGATAACACAGAGTTTGCATCTTTATACAGGTGAGGGAGGCTGAAGAGACCTGGTGCTCCCTTCAACAATGACAAGAAAATACAAGTAACAGATTGGGGTTTGAGTTTTATTAGCACCTTCCCCCGATAAACGTTTACTGAAGTGCTGTAACACCTAGTCAAGTCGATCAATTTATTTTGGTACAGAAATACACTTCCTGAGACCAGTACCAGCCCTACTTAGAGACCTTGACCTAAGCTGGTGAAGATCTTGAGCTGGGAGAATTTCTCCTACTGTAAGAAGGATAGAAGAGCCCTTGCACAAACATGGCTCCGCTTGCACGATCACTTGGGGATGAGGTTGGAACAACTACATCAATAAAGCAGGGGTCTAAGGACAGTAAAACCCAAGACAAAAAGTATATGCTGTAATATTACGGCATAACATACTGCTATATTTTTCTTTGCAGAAAAGAGGTTGTGGGGTTTAGTTTTGGGGTTTTTTTTGGTTTATTTTTGCTTTGGAGTCACAACTGAAATGCCCAACACAGTGCCTTGATACCTGTTTCTGCCATTTCATGCAACGTGATCATTGAATAAGGAGGCTCCTGGTCACTGAAAGAGATATTAGACAGGTCAAAATTTATGCATAACCATCAACATAATACACCAAATAAAATGATAATACAACAGACAGAAAATGAATCCAGTAAGTATTTAACAAGAGGAAGTCACACAGGCTGCAGACTGCTCATGCCATTTTCAGATCTGAAACACAGATGGGATTTGAGCCTTCCTCTGGCTCAAAGTCAACATCTGTGTATCTACAATAGCTGATAAATGAAATGGTGATCCATATCTGCACATTTAAAAGCTGGACACAATGCTTAGGCTTAGAGCTACTCATTAGCAGGGTTCCTTGGAGTACGAAACAAGAGACTCTGTGTCAGAGGCCATGAAGTGAACCCAGAGGAGAACACGAGGGACATAGCTTAAACATGATTATTTCCCAGAAATTCTCCGCTAAACAGACAAATATTTTTAAGAAACCCTACAAAAATAAAAGGCAAGCCAGACATCAAACTCATTAACGAAAGCTGAAAGAACTAGTTACGGCAGTTTAACTGAAGACATTTAACCCAATTCCCTTTCCAATATGAAAAGTTCAGTCAGATCAGTTCCTCAGCCTGGTTTGCTGGAGCAATGGCAAGAACCTATGGCCAGCCCCTCCCTGAGCAGGCACTTGCACCTAAAGCAAGGTCTCAGTTCAGCATCTCCAGGTCCAGAAAAAGCTTATGCAGCAGCAGCAGGTCCCAAATGCTTTATTCAGTGCTACTGAGGCACTGTGAACTAGCCCCCAGCTTCGAACAGGATATGCCGTGCTCCATTTCTAGCACACACACCTGAAATTAAACCAGAAATGCTAAATACAAAGGCATTTTAGAGAATTTCAACACAGATTAATCATGCAGATCACCTACCTACTTTTTTAGGATTATTATAAAAAGAGAAAAATCTTGTTTTTGACTAAAAATATGCTTTTCTTACCAAAAAATTAACACTCTCATATTTACACAAGAAAATGCTGAAGTTTAAACACTGTTTTATATTGCCATAACACTGGAAACAAATATCCTCCCCATCCCTTTGCCTTTCTGCTGGAAACTGATCTCCCCAGCAGGAAAAAGCAGTGCAACATTGCAGAGTTACCTCAGGAAAGGAGATGTAAAGACTCAAAGAAAGAAAAAAATATCGTAAGTGTAAGTAAAGGCTATAATTAAGGAGGAAATTTTTATCAGCAAAATTTCCAACTCTGTCCTGGGTAACAGGTGATCACAGTTCTGCACTGGGCAAAGCCTGTCCCACAGATTTGCCATTTTAACCACTTCATTTCCAGCCACCCCCTCCAGCCACAACCTTCCTCATATTTGGAAACCAAGCAGTCATTTTTGCTAATTTTTGAATTTGTGAAGCAGCACTTCATATAAACTCCAAGAATTAGTCCTTAACCTTCATTTCCTCAGAATAACAACTCCTTTCCTCCTAGATATGAGAGGGGGGAAAAAAAACATTTGTCAGGTATGTTTTAGGGCTGAACTTTGAGATTTGATTAAAAAAAAAAATAAAAACCAACGAGCAAACCCAAACAAAGTGTTCATTGCAGATCACAGTATAACAACTGAATTTACAATGCATCTCAGTATCCCCATGTATTAACTTTCAGTATAGAATTTAGAAAAGAAATTGTCAGAAAAAGGGTTTTGCCTTCCATTCTTTAGATTGCTATCTTTTGCTCTTTAAGGCTCTACTGTCATACCAAAGCCTGGATTTCCAACATGCTGTTAAATTACATATTTCCATTTTAGTTTGACTTTATTCTTGCACATTTTTTGACAGGAGAATATATTTGTCAGCTTTCCCATCTCCTTCAGTTGTGGTGTTTTCAAAACTGAGAAATCAGGCTCTAGGAGGAATGGGTGATAATGGGACATGCTTACTGCTACAGTGTCCCACCTACACCCAAACCCAAGATTTCCAGACATGGATTTTTTTATCCCTCCAAGTGAGCATTCCTGTTAATCAAACAAGGGCTATCATTAGCTTCACGTCAGGCAGAAAGGCTCCCTAAGTGTTTTTCAGGCCCATTTAGATATCTTGCCTCATCAACAGACCCTCCATTATTCATAGTCACAGGTCTTGGTCTTACTGCAAGAACTTGTAATATTTAGCTGTGTTCTAAAACCAGCTGTGTCTCACCAACTGCTGTAGTAGGACACAAAGGAAACCAGTATGCCAGTACAGCCCACGTTTGGGCTCCCCAGGACGAGACAGACATTGCTATAGGGGAGTGTGTCCGGCAGAGGACTTCCAAGGTGGTGGAGGGCTGGAGAAGGTGACATACAAGAAGAAGGTAAGAGAAAAGGCTTTGTTCATTCTTGAAGGGGAGGTAGTGGAAAGGAGGAGAAATCACATTCCTGTCTGCAGCTACGTCATGGGAAAGAGCAGAGAGGACAGGGCCAGGCTCCTCCAGGAGGAGCACAGCAACAGGACAAGAGGCAACAGGGGCATGCTGGAACATGGGAAATTCCAGCTTTTAAAAATATTTATTTTAAACCATGGGAGTGGTCAAACACAGTACCAAGGACCCAAAGAGGTGGAAAAATATCTGTATTCTGAAGATGTTCAACACTTGACTGGATAAGACCCTAAGCCACCTCCTCCCAGTAGACCTGGGTTTTAAGCAGGAGGCTGGAGTGGAGGAACTTCAAGAGGTCCAACCTATGTAATTATGTAAGTCTAAGGAAACATTTCACTGGGGTCTATATGAAAAAATACAGTTGCTTCAGGAATTTGTCAGAAGCAAGACTCCAGGAACTATGCTTATGGTCCCACGGCAGCAGAGGAAAGCACTTACAAGATTACAACACCAATTGCAAGACCCACAGGAACAGGATCAACTACGCACAAAAGCGTTGGGCAACTGCTTAAAAGAGCCGAAGAGGGGAAAGTGGAAGGCATGCAAAATTAGGGAGACTTTCCAAGAAATTTTGCCATGATTTTAACTTAATGATTTGAAGACAGACCACAAAATAAAACCTGTTAAAAAAGCCTCTTACGTTTAAGTGTTCAGGGGAAGAAAAAAAAAAAGTATGTCCTGGTATTTTTCCTATTTATTTCTATTAAAATCCTATTTAAAGGATTTTACAACAGGAAGGCAAACACCTCCTCTGCATGCCCATTCCAGAGTAACAATGCAGGTACATTAATCAAGGCTCACTTATCCTGAGCCTCATCCACCTTAAACTCAAACCCCAGCCGTGAAGCTAAAGTAGTGTTTTTCCTTCTGTTTTGGCTTTTCCATTTCCTCGCTTGCACCTACCCCAAGAGGCGATGAGCTAACTTCACCCATCATTTTGAAGGTCCTTTTAAAGCTTGGCAGAAAGCAACACAAACCCCAAAAAATAAGGATGAATCCATAAATATCCCCCACACCCTTAATGGCTGCTTTGAGTATGCAAGGAATGCAATGCCGGGATCGTGAGCTGAACAGCCACAACGTGTGGTCTTTAAAAAGTAGGCAGACTTATTACTGGAAAGAAAACCTCTGTTTGTTTATACACACTAACAAAGATCAAAGCTCTCAGTTTTGCTTAACTATTTCCAAAGAAGTAAATACAGCCTGAAAAGAGAAAGCTTGCAAAACAACTGATTTTTAGGACAAGTTCCCAAACTCTGGAGCATTCATCAACTCCTAAATCGTATCTATGGCAGGTAAGAACTACTGAGCACACTCTTCATCCCACCTGGGTGTAGGCCCACACAGGAACTGTGAGAAAGCTCCTCAGCTCCTGGAAGAGTTTGTACCTGTGCATCAGGAGCTACTTCTGTTACCTAGGAAAGGTGCTCCTCTCCTAAGCATCCAGCTGGAAACACGCAGCTGCTTCAGGGAGGGTCAGGTGGAGATCGGTGAGAGGATGGAGCCACAGTTTGAGAGAAGACAAGAACATTTTCATTCATGTTGAATTATTCCTTGAGGAGGTACTTACTTATCTACTAACGTCCGAATTACAGCCAGCGTATCAAGTACTAGCCCATCCACATTCTGTTTTTTCCTTCTTGGTTCGTGAGGCCCTCGACCCCTCCTGGGTGGACGGACAGGGTCCCTTGGGTGGCTTCTTGCTTCAGGTACGTGTACTCTGCTGTTCTCCGTTTGCCGACTCCGAGATTCCACATTGTCTTCTGTGCCACTGTCATCACGGCAGACGCACGAGTTCCCCATATTGCTTGCCCCCAAGGCTCCCAGTAAATGGGGAATGTGGTGCTCTAGAGTCAACAGTAAACCTTGGAGAAGGCTTCTGCTAGCATAGAACACAGCCAAAGCAACTACAATCATCTAGAAAGTTTTAAGAGTAATGTTTATGTGATCCTGAAGTGTGATTTATTTGCATTATAAGCGTTGCTACCAGCTGGAATGAATGGGAAGTTGGAGACTTAGTTTCTGATACAATTGGTTAAAATACACATTGGTCATCCAGAAGGAGGTCTGAAAAAGCAAAGCCAAAACAAGAGTCAGTGTTACTGCTTCTAATGAATAACAGAAGAATTCTGATATTAGTAAACAGAACCAGTCTTGGTGGACAAAGTACCTAGGAAACATAGGGTCTGTACCCAAAGTCTGTTGCAAGGAGGGGGAAAGGGAGGAGAAGGAAATTCACTGGTCAGTAGCTCTCACCCAAACACGGTTCCTCTCTACACTCCCTATTATTTCCTGTTTCTTCCATGGGTTTGGATGCAGAGGAACAACTTTGTCCTTAAGTCTAGCATACCACTACCCTTTAAGTATTAACAAACCAGTTTCATTTATTCTTTACCCTATATGAAGGCTTATTGCTTAGGCCACCCAAATAAAGGCTGTACATTTAAGGTTCTCATTTCATATCAGGAATATCATTTCCAGACAGACTCCACAAAATAGGCAAAATTGTAAAGAACTAATCTTACATTTATGGCCTATCTCAACAAACAATAGATTTAGCAGTGAACTGTTTCATCCACCTGTGCGTAAACACGTCTTTTTAAAACATGCATACATCAACTAGATTCTCACCCAAAGAAGCACCAGGTACCAAGCCTAAATAAATAAGGATTACAGACACCATATTAATGCCTACAAATCTAACTGGGATTTTGAAAAGGGTGTCTTCTGTGCAGGTTGTATGGTTGTTTGGATGTAGCATCAAACCAATCTTCCCTTTTTGGGATCAAAGACTAATTCAGTCATTCTTTTTCTCATTATTCAAATGGTTTGGATCAAATACAGGCCCACTAGAAACTGCAATTCTAGGGCAGTCCTTCCAAATCACTAAATTGAGAATGCTAGCCAGAGCAAAAGGATTCAAAAGGATTTCATTACATTTTTCAATACACAGGGTCTATTTCTATAGGACATTACATAGAGTCTCAGCAAAATAAGGCCCTACAAAAGACATCATTTAACTACTTATGCTCTTCAAGCATGCCAGAATAAGTCGGTCACTTTTAAGACTAACCACATGCTATTCTTTTAAGAATAAAGTTTAACATTTAAACTAGAAGTTACGGTGAATATTCTGTAACAGGTTATAACCATTCTACAATTAAATAATCTATTTCATAGCAGACATGTAGCACCATAAAATTAAAAGAAAGTCAAAGATAGTTGCCACCTTTCAAATATGAAAGCCCCCCGGCATTGGAGTCAACTGGCAACCGTGCAATTGCTGGTGCCACTTGGGACAAGATCATAACAACGTTATTTGGGAAGCCAGACGAGCAAGTCTCGGGATGTACAGCGGTCACTGGAAAAGCACTATAAACAAGCTCTCAGACTCTTGTGTAGTTTGAAGCACGTTATCTTCTTTTAGCACAGTGAAAAGTTCAGTATTAAGAAATTAACTGAAGGGTAACTAGGAAAAAAGCAGACACAAAACCAAGGGATATTCATTGCAAAAAAAATAAATATTCAAGATCCTTAATTCTTGTTCAAGAAAATTCCCAAACCACAGATCATTAAAGGGGTTTCAGCATCACAACACGCTTGCCTTCATCTCTAAGCAGTCTGAGCACAAGAGGTAGAAGACCAGGTTCAGGAGTCCCTCCATCTGAGCCAGTACAACTGCTCTCTTCTCTGCCGGCAAGTAAAAAGCAGATGTGAGGGTGCCAACACAGACTGCATAGATCTTGGACAGAATTGTGTAACATCACAACTTGTTCAAATGACTTTAAAAGTTTGGGAGCAGGATATTGAATTTTGTTTCTTTTTTTTTAAAAAAAGCTAGTTATATTAAATGCAAAACATACTTTCTTAAGGAAAAAAAAGTGTGTATTTATGAATCCAGATCATTTAAGGGCATTTTAGTAACATAATACTAAAATGTGAAACAGATTTAGAATTTAAATTAGTTCAGCTGGTCTGTAACTTAGGAAAATGTTAGAGTGAATCTACCTTCTCATCAAAATAAATACGGAAAAGCTGTATTTTAGAGATTCGTAATACGTAAGAACCCACTCAAGGGAACAAAACCAGACATAAGATCAAAAAAACTGATAATTGAAAGTTAGATTTTCTATTTGACAACTTAAAGCACAATTAAAGACAAGCATTTCTGATCAACTCACCCTTAAGTACGTTTGGTCCAGGAAGGGTTGAGCTTGCTCAAAGCGCTGGAGCAGCTTTGACGGCTTGTAGTTCTCCAGGGCACAGACGCCCTTATCTCTGGAAAAGCAGAGCCTTTATTGTGGACAGTGAGTCATTACGGGTGGTGACTGCTTTCACTTTTAGGAACTATGCTGCAGAGGCCCTAAAGACAGAGGGAAAAGAAAGAACAATTCACTTGGAAACTGCCTCCACAGTAGGCGTAGGCCAGCTCCTCCCTGTACCCACCGTGACAGCAAGCCAGGCTGCTATTTTCAGCCACATTCGGCCTTTATGGGGGAATTGTCTCAAGGCTTCAAAACCCAGGTTGCCACCTGCTATCCTTCGGACTAGACACAGCTACAGAAAACCCAATCTGTATCTACAGCCTTGGTATTCCAGGCACCACAGCACCAAGTGCAGCTCCTCCCCTCAAATTACTGCTCACAGGAGGAACAGAAGCAATAATATCTGCTCCAGATCACCCTCAAGTAGGGACAGCAGAAAATAAAAGCAAGTACACTATAAAAGTTGATTAGATAAAGGGAAGGGAGACATGACAGGATAAACTCCCCTTATTTGGTAAAGAGCCGAGTTTGACAGCATTCACTAGGCTGTTGCTTCCCATCATGTACAAGGAGTTCATTGTCAAGCCTCAAACCGAAAGACTAAATAATTAGGAACAGAAGGTACAAAAAGAGATTGCTGCAGATCCGCCTCTCACCCAGCGTGTCTGGACAGAGGATGAATGCATGAAGAGAGGTTCTGAAGTGCAAAGGCAAAGCTTTTTAAGAAAAATCTTTCAAACCAGTGATGTAGATCCCATTTGAGCTGGCGTATTTTTAAAGGACATCTTTACAACATTATAATGAACCACGACTTTAGCACTAGGCTGCTGTTGGCCACCCCGACTCCCCACTCTCACTGCTGGAATAGAGAGGACAGAGACATCAAACAAGTTGATGTCAGCTGCAGGATGGAGGCGGGGAATTCAGTAGAGAAGGGAGATGCAGGTGATGAGAACAATCAATTCTGATTCTGTCCAAACTCAGAGACCTTGGTGACACAACCAATATACAAAACCAAACGCATTTTGGACATCATGAAAGATGAAATATATTATTGTTTCAATAAGAGGTAACAAACTCTGCACACACAGATGAAATGAAATTTTAAAATCTAACTTCAAGTGTTATTTTAGCAAATCCCTGCTCTCAACAAAAACTGGACACAAAAGCTTTTTTTAATTCCAAAAATACTTAACAGTCTTCTTACAAGTGTTGTGGGGGAAAAAAAAAAAAAAAAAAAAAGAGGGATTTTAAAGACTTCGTCTAAAAGAAAAAAATTCAAGGAGCAAACCAAGAATATTGCAACTGCAGTATCAAGATAGGCCAAGATAAGCCCTCTGTCCTACCTGGCAGCAGATACTTAGAGCCAGGTATAACAGCAAGTGCACAATAACAAACAGGCTCTTTCCTGGTGCACTCACCTAACAGCCAACAGCTCCGTCTCCTGAGACAGAGGCCACATGTTTGTTTTGCTGTTAAAACCCAGCTAAGGAAAAGAACTAATCTTTCACAATCCATTTAAACTCTTTTTCCAGTAGTGACACTGCTAGAAGTCTCTGCAACTGCTTTTAAAATTTAGCAGTTTTCCATTATAATGCTGTTAGCCAGTTGTTAGCAAAGTGTACTGGTTTTCTTAAAAATTATGGTATCAGGGAATTTAGTGTGGTTTGTGACTTTTACCTTTCATGTTTTAATACCACATCAAACTCAAATATATTATGAGGTAACAGCTAAGATTCACCTAAGCACCAGCTCAAGAGTAAGAACAGGTTTCCCTGGAAGGCCACTGGAACACAAACCCATTGCCTGCTGTCAGGGCTACAGTGACATTGTGCAAACACCGTTTTCTTAAACAATTAGTGCAAGCAAAAACAGAACTGAAAGCCTTCAGATGAAGCAATGGTGTGTAAAAAGACCATCAAGAACTAAAGCTACAGGATGGAAAGAAAACAGGTTCTCTGTGTTAAAAGCTGTGGCCGCTTTCCCAGTGATTAGCTGGAGTTTGTGTCATTCAGATGTGCTGCAATGCTAGAAAGCCCTATCCTATCACTTTTGCATTTGCCTAAGCAATAGTCTTTGGCAAATCTAGAAAGTGATAACAAGACTATGAAAGCTGTTCAAAATAGCCCCCAGATTTATAAGTGGTAACACTTCTATTTTACTTTGAAACACTATTTTAATAAAAACTTGACCCCACAGTTTTAAGTGCAAGAAATGGTAACAGCAGCAGCTAATACCTGTTTTCCAACAGGCATCGTCCATTCCCTCTGAATTCTGGCCATCAGATGCTACTTTGGGATGCAGGACTATGAAGTTGCCAAATATATGATCAAAACGTAAGTTTTTACTCTACAGGAAGTACCCAGTATCAATACCTTTCTCTCTCTGCTGTAGCCATAGGATCTGCTCAGAATGCCGGTGCCCAACACCGCCTTCTTCATCCCAGATCACCCAGAGGACACCTACCACCCCAGCACAATTTCCTCTGAGCAAAGCTTAGCCACTGTTAGGGCTGGATACACAGGGAAAAAGCACCGTCGGGTCCCCAGCCTTCCACATCCCTGCACTCCTCCACCAGTGGTTGTGACCATCTCTATTGCAGTGAAGCCACCACTCTCCTGCCAAGCTCAGGCCTGAGCACGTACACGTGCATAGAGGAGTCGAAGCTGCACGGAGTGACCAACCTGCCCCAGCTGGGAGTTTCAGTGAAAAAGACTGAATCATCATCCATCGAAACGAATGCTATTTGCGTGGATTTGCACCTGCCCAGCAGCACAGATCCCAGCCTAGCCTGGAGAGGCCTCCTCTGGATCATCCGACACAACACACCAATGGAGGAGCCAGCTCCAAGCGGCATTAGGCTCATTTTCTCTGCAATAAGCAGCCCAAGAGCCGGTGATTCATCCCCTCAAATATTCGGTTACAGCCAACCATAATACTGCCTCATGATGGAAAAGGCCTCTCCTTTCCATGAAATGAAGTGCATTGCCAAGCAAGCAAAAAAAAAAAACCCTCATGCACATAAACAAGCTGAGAGGGCTTCAGCTACTGGAACAACTTCTCCAGCTTCTGCCACTATTCAAGATTAAGACCAGCAATTTCTTCACTCAAGAGTGGAGTAACATAGGAGCTCAGTCACCAAAGCACATAATAAAGTTGAGAACTTTTCCAAACGCAAAACTGTGAGGGTTTGGGGAAGCAACTTCCTATTAAGGACACAGAAAGGCTGAGGAAATATTTCTAATTATTTTTTCTCAAATAAATGATGCTCTTAAAAAGGAAAAGATGGAAATAGTTGTGATGCCAGTTGGATGAAAAGTTCAAACTACCATGAGAAGGAAACACAGCTATGAACCACTGCAAGATAATGAACTTCAATGCAGAAATAAGAGAGGAAAGAAGCTTGTTTGCAACTACAACCTTTTACACCACGGAGAGGATATCAGCTGTGAAATGATCGGGGCAGGTGATGAAAACCAAGAATTGCCAGTAAATGAAATAGTCAATTTCACATTGAAATTGTTTTTTAGGAGATCGAATTGAGCTCTGCTGTCAACCCCACAACTTTAAGACTTATGTGACTAAAGAGAAAGAGCTACTTGGCATTCAGTGTGGCTACCACACAGCGCATGCAAGAAGCGGACCTCAGGCTTCAGGAGGAGCAAGTAAATGCTGTGGTTACTACATGCTCTTTTGCGTGTAGTAACCAAACATCACATTGTGTAATCTGATGCAAACCCCCTAATTCAATTCTGTTTTCTTTAAAAATATCCCAGAGGGTTAAGACCAGTGTCAAAAAGAGCATTTACTGGCATGCAATGTGTCAGCATCCACAGGACAAAGCCGCTGCCACAGTCATTTGCTTTCTTGCTGTATTGAGAACACCCCGAAATGAAAGCAGACTGATCTTAACCGTGCCTGTGTAACGGGGAAAGAGACCAATCACATCTCAAAACTTTCCAGCTTCTGCCCAAGTGCCTGTCAGTGAAAACCCCCAGGGCTGCACAGGGCTTATGCAAAAAAATTGGGCTTTAACCCCGTGGTCTTCTCTAGGAAATTCTAGTTTTGTCAGAAACAGAGTAGCTGGAGGATCTCATCTCTTATTTGACTATTATCACAGCAAGTCAAAGGAGAAAGAAGCAGCAGACGCTAACAGCCACCACAGTAGTTTCTTTTTCTGTAGACTCATTGTGAAAGCCAGATTTTATAGTCACCTGTACGCTGGACTACTTTGCCTTTTTTACTTCCTTCAAATTTGTTTTTAAGCTGG